CGTCAAAACGGCTGAAGGGATTGTAATGCTATTTGGAACTGGGGTAGATTATGGTCTAGGATAACACATAGGGTACTTTTTACCACAGTAAACAAATAAAAATAAACACTAGATTATTTTTATATTTTTCATTAACACATTTATTTGTAACCTTAAATAGTTGTGATTTGAGCTACTCTTAAACCATTAGTAATTCTAAATCCTGCGATAACTTTAGATTTAACCTGAGCGATATCAAGTATTTGAGGTCCCAATCGAATGGCTTACAAGTATCGTAATGAACTCAAACCTGACTTTCTCTTTTCCGATTCATTACATAATGCCTCGGTGCTCGCATCTTAAAAAGGACCAAACCGCCACACTTTTGTAGGTACGCAGTAAAATACATCTTATTCGTATTTATTTTTATGTTATGGTATTTTCTGATATTATTAATAGGTATATGATAATTTAATCAACACGAAAAATTAATGAGGAATTGAATTTCAATTTTTTAATATTCCTCAATTAATGTGTTAATATCAAGAGGCACCTATTAATAGCTATTATCTAACTGGATCTTATAACTGAAATCTCTATTAATTCTCATAAGCAGAACATTTAGCCTTAAGCTATTAATTTAATACACAACAAGAAGGAAAAAAATATATATTATATACGAAAGAGAAGTAAGAAATAAACAAGATATTTTTATCTCCTGTGGGACTCGCGCGGGCTGAGACGGTAAATTAGACAGATATTCCTCCTTCGGGTTATTCTAGTAAATAACATACATATACAGGAAAATGTGTCCCTTTTATTACACAGTTACACACGTGTAAAACTTTGATTAATTAATTAGAAACATTTGTGAGCCTTTTGTCCTTATTTTATAGGGTGACTGTACAAGTATATTTGTACATATATTACGCCATACTAGGTATCACCTAGGTATAAACCAGGCAGTTCTTTTCGGGGAAAACCTTGGAAAAAATAAACAATACCTTTTATATTATCATTTGGAGAATAATTTTGTCAACCAATAATATAAAATTCTAAAGATCTAATAATAGTTGTTTCATAGGTATAATAATATCATGTCTCATAAAAAAACAAAATTGAATTTCAAAGATTTGATACTAATTTTATATATATTTTTTTAATGGGACAAGCCCGCCACAACCTCCCAAAACCGCTGCAACTCCTGTAAGCCAGGATCTACAGTAGATACAACCATGAAGACACCAGAACACTGAAGTCCGGCGCGTCCCAGGGACATGAGTAACTGTCTTGGTTCCCGCAACGAAGTGAATCAGAAGATATTATAAGAGGAGAAGAAGAAAAAACTATGGTTTCCACTTCCCTCGGTGAATTACTGCAGGAGACAGAATGAATTAAGCCTAAAGGCCCAATTTTATATATGTATATCAAGTCAGATGTTTAAAAACTTCTGTCATATTTTTCAATGTAACAAATATAAAATACTGAGAATAAAGATAAAGATCCAGTTTTATTTTGACCATAAATGCAACTTTAATAATGTTTCAAGTGACAATTTAAGTCGGCACACTTTTGAAATCAACTTTTATATAAAACTGCCGCAGAACGGGAAACATAAAAGATTGGTATGAATATAAATAAAAATACCATCGCGAGCAGACGACATCATTAAAAACTAGTTTAGAATTGCGTCACAGTTATTAAATCCAATTCATTTAATATTTCACTAAAGCTTAAACTAAATTAATGAATAGAAAAATAAATTAATAATATAGTGTCTGTCTTCGCACTATACTGGTTTATAGTCTGAGTCAAGATTTAAATGGTTGAGTGGTAAAAATATTCTTGACGCTTTCGTTTTGGAAACCAAATTCAAAAGTTCATTGATAAATCCTTGATTGACAAAACAATTAATACATTTTTTTTTAAGTATTACATGGAAGGTTTGTTGCATGGAATAGTACTTAATTTTTTTCTATTCCATGGTTTGCAGTGTATGGATGTGTTTTCTATTCCATGGTTAGGAGTATATATCCTTGGATTGAAGCTTGTAGAGATATTCTCAGTATTTTCACGTGAGTAACCCGCAATAGATCAAGCTAAATAAAACTGTTTGTAAGTAAAAGCTGGTAGAATTTTTACAACACTTTTAGTCATCAAAAAGCGACCATGCATTTCTCTGAACATCAATAGCTTATATCGGCGTTTAAGGGCAATGGTCTTATTGTTACCTAACCACTACTAAAAACTTACATCGCCATTCCATAGTTCTTACAAAGCACTTTACTGGCTTCATCTTCGCAATTCCTTTTACTATTTTTATTTTTAGCCATACAGTTTCCTCTTCTTAGCCTCGAAACTTTACTCCCTTTAATTCGTATCGTATTGTTGCTATTCTCAAGTACCAATAACTTGTAACAATATAAAGAAACGTGTTATTTAATGGTTATTTCAGGAAAGTTTATAAAGCTACAGTTGACCCGCAGAATGTTTTGACAGAAAAGTTGTTTCTGGAACGCAACTTATTTTTATAAATTAATTTTAGTCCAAGTTAAATGAATAAGTTCATGACTTACTGTAGAATATGAGTGTGTTATGCTATTAAATCTTCTTTGAGTTGTAATAAATTGTTTATTGTGAAATATAAGATATTAGGGTGCGTCTACATCTGGCAAATGTTCCGCGCTCGCGAGCCGTTTGCGTGCTCCGCGCGTGTCTTCTTCTTCTTCTACATTATTATCTATTAATAATTAAAGAACCTTCTTCGATCATTATTAATTGTGAGCTACTTATTAATATCAACAAAACCCATTTTTGAGAACTTGAAACACGTCAGAAAATCAGTTAAATTAAAATTCAATTGTCTGAATAAATCTGAATAACTCTTTCATAAAATAGAAATATATACAGATCTTTAATCTTGAACAATCGATTAAGATATGTATACTGTATAGATCTACCATAGAGGCACGGTATTATTATACCTTTATCTATTTTTATTAATAATCCAAGGTAAAGTAAACTTTATAGAGGTAGCAGTCTATTTGACGAGGTAAACGCAACAATATATATACAGATATATATAAAATTAATTACACAAACACATAGTGTATCTTAGCCTTGAATATTAAGTGATACGAAACGTGAAATATTCTGCGGTTATTGGATTCCTAGAACAGATATATAACTATGTAAGTTTCCTGTTCAACTTTATATATTGGCTATTAGTTATGGCAATATATTAAAGGTACAAGTATTGTGCATTGAGTATGTACCTAAGTACGTAGAAATATTTCCATGACTAAAACCTTTAGAAACCTCCATAACCTTTACCGATTTTATATTTTTTCTTTTGCTTTAATCTGCGCTATTTTCCGAGGTTTCCTTTTTTTCTACGTTCTAATTATTTTAAGTATACGAGACTGTCTCTCCACTTACAATATGTTTGACTTAGTTAGCCGTATGACGAAAATCAACAAACAAGCACATATAAAATAGCACTTTTAATTCTTATAGATGGATTCTATCCTACTCAAAATCTCATTGATACTAACAACAAAAGTTCATCCTAATTTATTCTGTTCATTTTAGAAAGCAGATAGAACAAAAATCAGGATGTGACTCTGAATATAACGGGGTCTAACAAACAATACGCATGCGCAATGACACATGTTATCTGACCGTGACAATATTGATGTATGGTGTTTTACCCTACTATGTTTAATATATATGCATTCCTATGGGGAAATGGACTTTATCTCATTGAAATAAAGGCTATAAAATGATAAGTGTAAACCGTAAACCTTTAATTGCCTGCATCCCTATAGGAAAATAGACCTTAGGACAATAGAAATGAGGGTGGTATAAAATATTAATTAATTAATTGAGAATATCAGGTTTAAACCACAGAATACGTATAACAGTTTTCCTTCCATTGTTGATCAATTGATTGTTTTATATATTTTCCTTAGGAGTAACTAGAGGTAGATATTTTATGGACGTTTTACAGAAGAGTCTTATTGAGTATTCTTGAACGAAAAATTTGTATCTATTCTATATTATCAAATAAACCCAACAGTAAAATTGTTATAGTGGAATTCTTTGCTAGAGTCTGTGTTTCCTGAAGTGTATATGAATAGGTTACTTATGGGGAGACGTAAGCCACATTATCACTTACTATCAGGCGAGATAGTGGTCAAACTTCGGCCCATTAAATATAAAAAATAAAATATATGTAAATGAGAGTTACTATGGGCAGTTTCGTACCTCTAACTGTTCAATCCTCAAGCGGTCACCGGTGACCACTACTAACTCCATTATAGACCTAATTTCCGATGTTTAGAGGCTACTTGAGAGTGAACAGGTTATTTATATGATATCAACGTAATAAGACCTTTTGTACACAATACAACAAATTTATAAACCTATAAACCTAATGAAGTGTTACGAATTGATGGGCAATCCTTTTAAACAATAGTACCTACACCTGCACGTTTCTATACAATAAAAAGCAGGTGAATTCATTTGACAAAGAAACCATTTGAAAAATATTTCAACAATATTGTTTACACAATAAAAAAATTTCGAGCACGCCCGATCACTTTCGAACCGTACTGGGACTCATCATCATGAATTGCGTGCCAATTGATCTTAAATAGCACTTGCTAGTCCATGATATATGGTATTATATTTACTTATATGTAGCAACTAACATTAGGTTGCGCGAGTAACTAAAGTTTTTTTTTTTTTAAGGGGGGAAAATCATCGAATGACTGCTCCCGCCTGGGTGAGGCGGAAGGGAGTGTCAGACTCTTACTGACTAAAAACCACCCCGTTCCTTCTCCTGCACGTCGAGCCGGAGCCCCGGTTACCCGTTAGGTTCTCCGCGACAAGTAACTAAAGTTTAGCTTATGACAACGCTTATGTACTTGGCCTTTCGATCAATTCCTTGATTAAAAGTACATACGTCTCATGACAATATGATACTGAAACAAAATAAAAGATACCAGAAGGTCACTAACCTGGTATTTCTTGATGGAGTCCATCTGTTCTTTGCTGACATTGTCGTGTGCTGGTGGGCGGGGCGGTGCATCCCGCGCGGTGTCGCGTGGGGGCACCGCTGGCGCCACCGTCTTCGCCGTCCCATTCACCTGCTGTAGATAGAATTAAGAGTTACAAAGAGTAGTGGGAGAAGATAAGAGATTGAAATTGAGATACTTTTTGCAGTAGAGTGTTGAGAACACAGAAGTGTTTATGGGTTCTGTGCAATATCTATAAGTTGTTTTTTTATTGGAAAGCTATTAATTTCATTTTTTAATGTAAATTGTGTACCTTAAAGTTCTTAATTCTTTAACACCAGTCCGTTAACGATTACCGTGTTAAGCGACTTAAATGACATTGCTAATGATTTTACACAAAACCCATTCAAAATATTATTTTTGATGAACATTTATAATGGTTTCTTCAGGTTTCGAACCTGAATTAATTAGTTGGGGCATCAGTGGTGCTGAGTGCAGCAAGTAACATTAAACATTTTGACGACAGTGGATACTAAAACTAAACTGCTATAATCATTTCAAACACTAGACTTATTTCTATTTAATTGACATTGCAGATTTGAGTTTCTGATGCAACTTACTACTTGACAAAAAGAAAAGATATGAACATACATAGTAAGTAAGGTATTATCTATGGGAGTAACAAGGGATCTTCTTACGGTTCTCTTTAGCATCAAAAACTCAAACCTCAATATATTACTTATATCTATATCTCTCATTCTAATGTATAAATAACAACTAAATACATAATAATATATCCCATTATAACACATGCTTTACCCAATATCTGAAAATGAAATTGTATTCAGACGGTCTTACAGTTTAACGATTAACAGATTATTTATCTAAGTACCACCATATATACCATCTGAACATAATATATAATTAAGCGTCAAAATGCATGCCAACATACTATACCATTTCAAAGATATCTTCAATTATTTTTATAGAAAAAAAATAACTCTTACTAAATACCAGTCAGTTAATTCTAATTGAAAGTTAGTTAGTGACCTCCAAATGGCGTAAATTTAATTACTTTGAGGAACCTATATTTAAAAGAGCAAAGCTTGACACTGAATAGTTTTGCTTATAACTTAATTCATTGCACCGATTACTGATATTGAGTCACAAACACTCTCTCGTTCATTTTATGGAAATAATGATCTATAAAAATATTTCATTTTTAAACAATCAATGAATCTGTTGTTCGAAAGGGATGGAGGTTATTGCACTATCTTCTACATTCGAAACTACACTTTGGAACGAGACAATTCAATTTTTGAAGTTTCAAAAGTTCCTAATTAAGAATTAATTGAAATAAATGCTTTGACTTTGAAGACTGTCAGCGTCAATCTTTAAACAGGTACCAGAAAGTCTCATTCTGTTATCTTATTTCATAGAAATAATAAAATTGTGACTATTTCTGCGTATAATAAACACTTGTGTTATAATTTTTAGCAGTAATTACGGGTGTAATTACAGCGGGGTCGCTGAAGACATGCATTTTGATCCAATTATAATAAACGTAAAGATACATATTTTAGTACTTCCCACACAGAGATAAACAAGCCACATTTTAACATCATTTCACAAAGAAAATAATACAAGAAACAAAAGTAATATCACCTTATTTACTTCTGTGTCAAGTCTAGAGAATTTATGGCTCAACTTCTAACACATTTTCATATTAGTCTTAGCAAGAGGAATAAAATTTTGAAATAAATGTTCTAATTTGAGATTTCTTTTCTTTTTTGTGATGACTTATGAATTTTCCTGTTTTCTGGTTTGTTGATTTATTTTGTTGTTTGTGCACCAAAATAATGTTATATTTGGTTAAAAAATAACTCATTAATCATATGTTTCATTGTCATCTCTAATCACAATATTAGCAACAAGACGTTCACTACATAAATGCCTTTAATGACTTCCAAAATACATTTATAGATTTCCAACTACAACCAAGATCATTGAAATACAACTTCAAATTTGGACATACGTTTAATACACGTTCTGATAGAAAATTGAGCCAAAAATTGTAGGTAACAATCAATAGATACATAATATGTTCCAATTTGTTTTCTTACAAACTTATACCCCAGATTATGATTGATTATGACATGCAAGTATTAGATTATATCGAAGAAATATTACTATAATAATAGATATACAACATATGAATATATAGGTATATTAAATACTGCTAAAATACTTATATTAGTCACCTGGAACAGAAATGATATTAAGACAAGATACACAATTAAATACTTAGGTATTATGAAGTATACAAAAATTTGGAGTCTCAATCAAGTCAGTTTCAATCAAGATCTAAATAAAAGTTTATTAAAAATGTATATAATTGGTTGATGTTGGTAAGGTGGATGGATAAAGACCACGTGGGCGATCACTTAGCCAATAGTGTGACCAAGTTACCAACTACACCGGACTCTCTGCAACGAAAGCCCTGAATGAAGCCGAAAACAGGATAAGATGGAGGAAAAGAAGGAGAGCAATGAAAGCCTTTCAGGGGCACGACCTTCAGAAATGAAGCGAGCTATCGAGAAGAGAAAAATGTATAAATTCCCGTGATATTTTAAAGCATTGCTTAATATAATTTTAATTATTATTGAGCCAGACGCGTTTGACCACTTTATATAAACAATCTATCAGAAAAATAGCATTACTGATCATATTTAAAACTGTAGGTATTCCAAAATATACGCGAAAATAATCGCATTTGTTTTGCCTGGAAAATAACATATCCATTACGGAAAAGCAACAGAAAGTACTGAATAAATTCAATAAATTTATACATATGTATAATAAAATCGTAAAAAAGTCAAAACTGTACATTTAATATTTTTAAAAAGAATATTTGAGGCGTGATCTACAATCGATACCGAAGCCAAAAATATGGTTTTTAGAATTTTTGTCTGTTTGTCTGTATACATATATGTCCGGGATGATCTCCAAAAGTACTGCATCGATTTACTTCAAATTTTGCATGAATATTACTAATAGGTCGGGTTACATATTGTCACGCTATCGTCTAGCTAGCTAGCTGTGAATCACAATTCCACGCGAACGAAGTCGCGGGCGACAGCTAATATTATATAAAAACTCTTATAAATAATATTAGGTTATCTCGTAATACTTATTTCATGAACAATATATAATATTAGGAATAAATTTCGCATTACTTGGTCGTTCTTAAGATAAATCTGATATATGTATATTGTATAAGGAAAATAATAGCGTAGGTATATTTTATAGCATTAGTTGACCCTTTGGAAGGATAAGACCTATTCACGGTAGATTATATCCTCGATTTAAGTATATATATGATAAATTAGGAGAACGTGCCTAAGAACCATTATGGGTTCGACCCAAGTAGTGAAGAAAAGTGTCGGGAAATTAACTTTAATACACGTATATAAGGGTATATAAAAGCAATACCCTTCCTTCAGTCGGATAAAAATGATATACATATCAGATAACCAGAAAAATAATAACAAAATCTGGGTAAAAGAAAATCTTAATCTGTATAGGAGAATAGAATATCTACTGATTTGCATAAGGACGACTTATATACGGACAAAACACGTATGGAGTCCAGGAGATCAGTTATCATCAACAGCAGAGATATAGAGAGATATAGACAGCAGAGATATAGACATACACAAATATATTATTTCATAAATATTGGAAGCCAAATACTAGAAGTAATACACAGCCGGTTATCTTTTTAGCACCAACACTACTTGGAGAAAATTCCAAATATAAACTTCGAAGAAACAGCCAAATGCGATACAAATAATTTTGAATTATAACGGATTGTTTTTCGAAATGTTCCAAATTTAAATTGTTGTCCACAGACAGCAGAGCGTTTTAGTGCGAAAAGCGTGATTGATGATATGAATGATGAAGTAAAATCATTGTTAGGTGCAAAAAAATGTTTTTCCTAGTCAAATAATAACTAAGGCTACCTGAATGTCTGTCCGCTCCGATCTAAAGCAGAAACGAATAATTGTAACTAATCAAGGTATTTTAATAATAAATAGTGATAATAATGTCGTGATCTTAGTAACAATTGAACGCGGTGAAGGTGAGCAGAAGGTGCGTGAGGTTTATACTAACAAGTAGTTGTTTTATCTTGACGATAATTCAGATAAAGATGACTATTTTAAGAGATACCTCGTTGATAGTATCTACATAGTTAAGTGATAAGTCGAAATTGATGGACTATTAGCAGTTTGCACGGAAAATTTTTATCAAAAATATTATTTTACGAAAATGAAGTGACGGTTAATGATGGATGATAAACAGAAAATAATATGACACAACTTTAGCTACCTACCCTTACGTGATAATGTTAGTGATTTGGTTAGTAACCCTACAACGAGTTGGTGTTAGTTATGATATTAATGTTAGTTCCTTTCCCATACTGATATTCTAGTCTAATAATCATCTTAGTTCAGAATTATAATGCCGATACTTTAAGGAGATATTGAATCTTTGAGACATTAATGCTTAAAGTCATGACTGATTCTCTGAAGGAAGTAATGTCCAAAGTTTCCAACATTGAATTAAAGAACCAAGATGATGAACCGATACCCACAACTCCAAGGTTCCCATGACAACCATGCGTAGCATTGTGCCCATTACCTGGAACGCCACGCTCTTTCTGTCCACGGTAGCGGTACCCGGGTACTTAGGCGTCGTTTTCACAATTTGGACAAATGTATCAGGAACATCCACGGCCACCTCCCTCCCGAGGAGCACTGGCGTCGTGTCAAAGCCAGGAGGAAGCTTGTACGACGCGTACACAGCCTCCCTGATCAACACAGAATCTGTCCGTGCTGAGTATGTGACTCCCTCTCTGCAATCTATCAAAGAATCCTCGCCGTTTGATATTAAGAGCTGGATTTTGTGGTCGCTCAAGTTGTGAGTGGTGTTTGAGGCCACGGAATCGGATCGTTCCGAGTTAAGGTCTCCACATTTGGCTGTTTCTGAGGACCCTTTACTTTTCTTGCTGCCGAAGCTACCGGAGCCATCAGAGCTTTGTGGGAGGGACAGAAGTTCTATGGTGCTATTGTTCTTGAAGCTGCCTGACCCGTCGGAGCTGGGCGTGGAGATATCGATAGTGTGCAAAACAGTGCTTTGCTTGCTGCCAAAGCTGGTGCCCGAGCCACCGGATGAGAGAAGAGGCTCATCGTCCCTGGAGGTCCGGAGGCGTACCTGCGGAGGCCGAGGGGGCGGGTACCGGGGAGGCGTTTTGTTCCTCGCGATGAAACTGTCCGGAACGTCCACCGCCATCTCGCGGTGGGGACCTGGAAAGTAAAATAAGGAAAATTGAGTTTGAACGTTCAAACATGGCTAAGTTGAAAAGCTTACATCTAAGCCTAAGCTTATCATTACAATAGTCCAGAATCTGACCTTAGGTATTTTGTAGTACCCTCCCTTACTTCCATGAATTATAATAGTGCCTATATTATTATCCGCGTATAATAGTTATTATTATTATTATCTATAAAATAACCATAATCTGCCTAAACAGAATCTGCTGCAAAATTTAATTATCAACTACTCCCCAGCCGGTGACCCAGCAAGCACCGCATGCGATCACTAGCCTTATCTACTAATTACATGAACACTGAACACTCTGCCCTGAAATATCTCGGATATTTATTACCCTTTGTTAGCCGATAAAAAGGTATTCATGTTTCGCAGAGATAACAACGGTATGTTTATTTTTATTATGCTTTTCTGGGGAAAAATTATATAAGCGATACTTAAATAGCTTAAGTACTTAGGTACGGAAAAAGATAGGGCGCTTTCCGCACTCGTTGGTACTTTAAAAATTAGGTTGATTTTCGTTGCCATATAAACAGATCCGTTGATGTTATAACATCAATATCTCTTATAGAGTTACTAGTCTTAAATGAGTTGTATATCATAATGAAAGCTTGGATTTTAACAACAATACAAATTCCTCGTGCACAACCATTCTCCGTTACAATTTTAATATAATTACTCAAAAAATTATATTTAAACTTCGCAGTTCGTACCGGCAATTTCGTATTCAATTTTATCATGAAGCATAAATTTCTATTATTTAATAAAACGAACTATCCAAATGCAATTTAAGTTAATTACTAGTACATCTATACTTGTCTTCCTTAGTTTTTGCTCCATTGTCTAGTAGAGGCCAGTCGAATACAAAAACTGATGAAATAATGTGTTTGAGGTCTTCTAGTCTAACAAAAAATTAGGAATAATGGCTATTCTTGGTTTGTTGGCTATTGTTTTGTATCACTTTGATTTCATTTTGTACGTGAGAGATAATAAATCTTCAACAAAAAAACTGTTGGTAATATATCGAATTGAATTTATACATGTTCACCGAAGATTAACGTGTGCAACCGAGTAAACAAGTTCATTATCATTTTAAAACTAAATAATTGAACACAGATAATTAAAGTACTCATATTTTGACAGCAAACTTCATCGTAGAAAAGTTATTTTATCTGCAACCAGATTTAATGTAAAAGCCAATATAAGATGTCTACACAAATTCGAACATTTAAATATGGAATCCGAATTTAAACTAACACAACGGCAACGAAGTGAAATTATTCAGGAAAGACACAAAAGCTCGTAATAACGTGGAACCAGGGAGTTTTGTCAAAAAATTAATGAACGCCTGAATTAATATCAGGCTGAATTACTGAGTTCCATTGCGCGCCGAGAATTTTTTAAAAGTTACCGTTTTTCATGATTTTTAATCTGGCACCTTGTTGGGCGGCGGACGGAATATCAATGTATGATAAAACCTTTTTTCCGTCGTCGCTTTTTGACAGTTGAAAGCTTTCAATTTTAAGTATTTTAACTGAAATGTACTTTTCCATTAGCGTTCAGGGTTTGACCTTTTTTCAGTAATAAAAAACCCAAATAAAAGAACAATTTGATTACAGATAAATAAAATTAATAACACCTGACTTGGCAGACTATAGGGTCAAATTAATTATTACTCATTATGATCATCAATCATTATAATAAAAAAAATCCGATCTTAAGTAAATTAGAGAATCTAAGCCCATGTTTTTACTTAATAACAAAGTGTAACTTTCTACTTTAGATGACGAGATAATATTTCTATATTTTCTATTTGTTAAAAGAAATCGTAAAATGTTCTTACCGGTATCAGATGTGAGTGAGAGCATCGTGAGCATGTCTTTGTCGTCATCCGGGGGCGGTCGCTTTTCCTCTTCGGCTCCTAGGACCACTATGCTCGACCCCGATCGTCTGCGCGGCCTGGAATGTTATAAATTAAATATATAAATAATGTGTACTTGATAACAAATGCTTATGTAGTTAAAAAATCTGGCTCTTGATGAGAAATATGGTGGGCATTTGGTTTATTATACGTGTTAGAGTAAATGCTAGGACCAAATTTGGTCCTTAGGTGCAACTTCACTTTAAAGCCTTTAAAGACAGCACTGAATATTTTAAACCAAAAATATTTACTGAAGATAACCTTTACACAAAGTCAACGTTTTCATGACCTTCCATCCAGTCTTGTTTTTATCAAGACGTCTATGATCAAGCTCCCTACCATCTGGTTCTACAACCTTCGCAGTATCGTCATTAAAGACAGTAATTTAATAAAAAACTGAAGTGAAATGCTACCAGCAATGAATGCCGACTGATATGATTATTCCTACCGCGAACAGAAAAGCATTCATAGCTAGCGAAGAACTTTCGAGAAAAAAGTTGTACCGCTTGGTTGCAGTTGCAACTATGCACATACGGCATACCGTTCCGCGTAAACTCACAAGAAATATGGTAAACGGCGACTATTAACTATCTACATTATTCGATTAAAGATATTTTTAAATAATAAGAGACCTTATAGTATTTGCAGTAACAGATTTTTATTTATTGCTATACAAAAATTATATTTACTAAATGAATGATGTTGTTTCAAAATACTGTGCAAACCCTGGCAAAATTGGAACATAACTAAATATGTTAATTACAAAACTTTTTTTTTGTTATATCTTACTCGACAAATCCTTCAAGTGCAGACAATGGCCAAGTGTTTAATAAAACAATTAGCTATAAAAATAAGTAAATAAATCGTAAAGGAAGCGCGTCCAGTACCGGACGGTTAACGTGACGGCCCGGGAGCAACGGTGTGAGACGTCACGCAGACGTAACTTAACACGTTACGTTACGTAACGGACTCACAGTAATTACGTGGTTTTTGCTCTGCAGGGTAAGATGTATGTGTCTATATAGTGCTAAGTCCGTGCAATTTATGATGAATGTTTGGTAATGTAATACATAGATTTTTTTTTTGGAAAATTGTGGAAGATTTATAATAGTAAAGATATCCAACTAGTAAAAATAGTTTATAATTATATATACAAGAGAATATAATATACAGGAGAAAATCCTAGTGTGAGGCAACGTTTAAAAAGATGGTATTATAATCATTATCTAGGAAAACCAAGTAGGTAGTAATATTGTTTTAGCGAAGATGAGATTTTTATTGTTGCGGGACAATAAAAAGGAATCAAGAAAATTCTGCCTCCTTAAGGTGGCATTCGATAAGATTGCATAAATTATTTGTGAGACAAATTCTAACATTCTAGCTAAATATATCCAAAAATCAGTACGCATCACATTCTAAACATAGCCTTTGAAACGACTTATCCTTTGATTTTCGGCTCAGTATCGGCACCCTTCGGCACAGACGTCGTATAATTAAACCCCGAATCAGCAGTTTTCACAGCATAGTAATGAAATCAGAACATTTTGCTACTGAAGGTACTGAAACTTTCCATTTTAATCTCTAACTTATACAATCTCGTTTAATAATCTGTGTTAGGATCAAAATAAGAGTAAGACTTTAAAAAAAACGGACATTGTCTGCTAAAACAGAGCAAAAGCTGCTGAGAAAACAATGCAGTATAAGGAATATTCAATTGTGAATAAAAGTAGACCAAATGATAATATTTGATTCTAAAACCAAAAGACCAAAGTGTGGGAGAACCATGCTTCGGCACGAATGGGCCGGCTCGACCGGAGTAAAATTGTATTTTATTATTTTTAAAGCGTGAAGCAACGCTTACGTGGTGTTTCGTCGTGTGAGTGAGGTTACCGGAGGCCCAATTACCTTCCCCTTCCCCAATCTCCCCAATCCCTGAATCCCCAACGATCCTCAAACTCCTAATCCCCAAAAAGCCGGTGACGCACTTGTAACACCTCTGGTGTTCCAGGTGTCCATGGGCGACGCCGATTGCTTACCATCAGGTGATCCGTCTGCTCGTTTACCGGCTTATGTATGCCATAAAAAAAGAGTATCTTTAAATAAAACTGCCACTTCCACAGAGACAGACAACCTTTTATATCTATTATAGCTTCTTCAACGCGGTTTCACCCGCTCTGCTCGGCGCCTGTATTGACCGTAGTGTGATATTCTATAGCCTATAGCCTTTCTAAATAAATGGACTATTAAACCCAAGAATATTTTTTCAAATCAGTCCAGTGGTTCCTGAGATTAGTGCGATTAAACAAACAAACTTAATAAAAAAAGTAAAAGAATATAAAATATCATGCAATATTTTAGGCTTTCTATGACCACATGCATGTGGTTTCAAAGAATGATCACGTTTTAAGCTCTCTAAAGCTCTCTAAAACTCAAGTAACTTCACAAATATAGATTATTTAAATACTTATTTGTCTTTAAACACAAGTCAAGTGTAACTTAATTGTCTATTTGTCTGTCAGACATTGACTAATGGTTGAAAGAAAACGAGTGACAAACTTTAAGCTAATATATTTAAACATTTCTAGCTAGACAAACGATAAAGATGGATCTAAGAGACAATATTCGCTTAGACTTGAAATGGCTAATAAATAATGTGTGGACACAAAAAGGTCATGCAACGATTGATTGCTAAAAACCAAGTTATTATTTAAACTGTCCTATCACTTACTAATGTTTAATTTTCATTGTAACATTCTCTCTCAAAAGTTTGACTCTAACGACATTTGGGAGTACATAATCATATTATGCTAATTGTCACAGCATCATCCGTAAATAACGATGGGGAGAATATTGTCAAACAATGCGAATCATTATTAAGGCTAATCCCGTCAGTAAACTGCTTACTTTTATTGCCTGCCCGGGTCACGGAATAAAACGCACGGATACTCCGTGTGGTACAATTTTTAAAACTCATGAAAACACCACTCTTTATTTCCAAATAAAGAACGGTAAAAGTCGAGACTACAAGTTCCAAACATAAACATAGTTACAAATTATCTTTTATAAACTACGTTTACATATACCTACTTCAACCCCTTCTGAGGTCAGTTTATTAATATACTAAAACATTCTCCTAGGTCTAACAAACACTTTTCTGAAAACCACATTAAAATCGGTTCAGCCAATTACGAGATAATCGCGCACAAAGATACATACATACGTACAGGGCTAACTGAGAACCTCTTTTTTTTAAGTTGGTTAAATAGCCCATGCGGTTCACGTTTGGTCCTTCATCCCAAATTCAGTACCGTTTTTTTCTTTAATTTGTTTCCTAGTTATTTTGTAATATTTATTTCCAAGAAGCATGTGTTAGCTTATCTTTCTGCACGCTCCTTTAAATCGATTATATTCAAGACGATAAATAGAAATCTCGTGTGTAATCGGTATGAGTCACATAGTTTGATCAATCGTTAAAATAATGCAGTATAAAGTCTAAACATGTTTAGGAAAATGCATACCGCAAAGAACAATAGACAACAATTAGTAATTGACAAAATATTTGTACAATTACGTCAAAACAATTACAAGGAATGTCAATTTAAACCAATGTCACGTAATGAACTAGAGACATAACGCCTCTACATCGCACCACACCCCAGGGGCCCAATATTTCCAATTTCAACGGGACCCATAAAATAAAACTGACTAGTGCGACCATCCGCCCGCTCAGGCCGGGAGTTCTACACGTAAACTATTAATGTTAGGTCAATAGTCCAGGACTGTAGGAAAAGGGTGCGTAGGCGAATGTTTTATTTGTTATCGAAACGGAAAACTGGGTCTGTGTTTTATTTGCTTATTTTTTTCTTGAGTTATTTATGTGCGGACTACTTTATGGTTGTCGCTTGTCGCAGATTGTTGCTATAATACCTTTACTTATTTCTGTGACCTCATAACTTTATCACTAGTGTATCGGACCATGTTTTACGCATATTTAAGGATGCCTATTTGACTAGACATTACTTAGTCTTGTAAAGTATAAATATATTTTGTACACGTATACCATTCATGATTAAACTGCAAATAAAAGACACACAAACATTAGAAAACAAATATTTTCTTAAAACAAATATCATGATGTCATCATTCACTCGCCTAAAAGACAAAACAGCAAGGTGTCCCTTAGGGCATAACTTCTGTTCCCCAGCTCAAAGGATCAGTATGAGATACAATTATGAAAAGCCTGCTGGCAGTCGCGCTCGGCTTCAGTCTAAATAGAAAACTACTGAATTCGTTCATTCCGCTATCTTCTCGCGTTTTTATCATAGCTGCCTCGTTTTGTATGCGGATTTGAAAAATGAAAATGTGTCTGGATTTTTGGAAAAAGAAACTATGAGTTCTGGCTTTGCGGGAGGCGCGAAATGCTGAAATGCTCACATCGTGGTTTAAATATTGGAGTTTCTAGTGCAGTGAAAATAAATAAACCAAAAAGAGTTATGAAAGCCATTTTGTTTTTTGATAAACCCAACGATCGTTTTAGATAACCCGCATTGATTTTATTTTCCATTATGATCATTTCAGTTGAAACAAACACTAACCTTAGCCTTACTTAAAAATATTATTGAATATTGAGCAAAAACCCCATATTGCGTAACGGTGAACCTAGTGCACGCAAAACTATTCGATTTTATATCGATTTGCGGTTGTCCGACCATAGCTGCATAGTGATCGGTGCTAATGAACTATTGTAGCAGAAAATACTTGCGCTAGCTACATCGATTTACAATATCGTAATGGTGTCTAATATGGTGAATGCAATTGTTAATATTCTTAACTAATTCAAGACAGCTATTTACAGTTTAAGGGTTACCAAACCTTTCGACTCCTGCCTAAGCAAAATATGAGTAAATACTGCCTAAATCTTACTGTACAATTCAGTAAGTTTATAGTTAATTTGGTAAGAAAAATTAGTCACAGAAAATAATTAAATTCTCCACAATAAAGCTAGTTTGATTTCTCCAATCCATCATATATCCAAGCT